GAAGCTAGGCAGCAAGGCAGCTGCTGCGCGGGAGCAGGAACAGCAGCAGCTGCTGCACCAGCAGCAGCAGGAGCTCCCCAAGCAGAGACAGCAACTGCAGCAACTACTCAAAGGATACGCTGCAGCCTCTCCAGCCTGCATCGAGCTGCTGCAGCTGCTGGATGCATGCAATGAGCGGCTGCTGCAGAAGGCAGCAGAGGTGGGCCGGGCGGGCCAGCGTGGTTTGCCTGAGGGTATAAGTCCTGCTGCAGCGCGCATACAGCAGCAGCAGCAGCAGAAGCAGCAGCTGCTGCTGAAGGGCGCAGATGAAACCGAAGAAGCAGCTCGGGCAGCTCAAGCTGCTGCACTTATTGCAAGTGCTATTATCAAGGAAGAAGCTGTAGACACTCTTCCTGCTGCTGCAGCAACACGGAGCCGACTTGCTGCTGCAGTTGTTGCTCCATCGAGGCTGCTGTCACTCAGCTCCTTGCTGCTGCCTCTCCCTGCTGCAGCAGGCAGCGGGAAGCAGCATGCTTTGCTGCAGTTGTGCATCTGCAGGCTGCTAGCTGCTGCTGCTACATTTTCCTCAGCAGCAGCATGGCGCATAGCCTCAGCAGCACAGGGTGCAACCGCAGCAGCAGCAGCAGCAGCGGCAGCAGCAGCGGAGTCTCTTCATGGGGCCAGCGGTGGAGCAGGAGACAAGGTGGTGCAGCAGCATCCCCTTCAGCAGGCCCTCATCCTCCTGTGTGAGGGTCCCTGCCAGCGTCTTCTGCAGCGCAGCAGCAGCAGCAGCAGCAGCAGCAGCAGACGCAGCGGGGGCTCTGGCGACAGCTCCCTGTTGCCTCCCCCCCCAAAAGCCCAGGGGCGTTTGTGTGGGTGCCGTCACTGCAGCAGCTCAGCAGCAGCAGCAGATGAAGAGGGGGAGAGGGAAAGAGGAGACAGGGGAGGAGACAGCCACATACAGGCAGCAGCAAAGAGAGGCTGGCACGCCGCTTGGGGGCCCTTCTCTGTGCGCTGCTGCTGCCTCTCCTGCAGTGAGGAGACAGACCCCACAGCCCCAAGTAAACGAGGTGTACGTACAGGAGGAGATATGCACGCAGCAGCATCGGCAGCAGCAGCAGCAGCAGCTGCTGCTGCTGCTGATGCTGCGGAGGCCGGGATAGGTAGAGATTTGGCAGCAGCAGAAGCAGCAGCTGATGCTGCTGCTTCGAGTGTACGTACAGCTGTCAGNTAGGTAGAGATTTGGCAGCAGCAGAAGCAGCAGCTGATGCTGCTGCTTCGAGTGTACGTACAGCTGTCAGGGGGCTGCGCATGCGAGAGGCTCAGGAGGGCCTGGGGGGCTGCGGGGTCGTCCCTATTCGTTATGCCTTGCGGCAGGAGGTGCTGCGGCTGCTGCTGCTGCTGCTGCTGCATGCAGACCCTCTCGTGAGCAGCGCGTTGCTGCAGCTGCGGAGACGCCACAACCCGCAGCAGCAGCAGCAGCTGAAGGGCTCACGAGGCAGTGCTGCAGATCCCAACAGCAGCAGCAGCAACAGCAGCAAGCAGGAAGGGGGCTTGGCCCTTGTGCGCGCGGCGCTGCGGGGCCTGTCTACCGACCGGGAGCTGGATGCACTGTGTTTATTGGTGGGGTTGTTCGAGCGTTTCCTTACCTGGAGACAAAAGGGGCAGCACACGGAGACAGAGACAGCAGCACGGCGGCTGTTTCTCGTTGCAGCAGGAGGCGGCTTCCCCCTGCCTCTGCTGCTGCAGAGACTTGCTGCCAGGGAGCAGCTGAGTCACCTGCTGCTGCCGCTGTTGCTGCCTTCTCAGACCTGCAGCAACCTCACTGACACAGCAGCAGCAGCAGCAGCAGCAGCAGCAGCAGCAGCAGATGCTGAGCAGAAGGGTGAGGCGCTCCACTTGTCTGCTTACTTCAGCAGCGCCTGGGCGGTGCAGCAGCTGCTGGGATTTCTGCTGCTGCTGGCAGCTGGGGCCTCTGGGGCCCCCAGGGGCCCCCCATTGTGGGGGGCCCCTCCGGAGACAGCAGAGCTTCAGGGAGGAGACACGAATCCTGGGCGGGCTGCTGCTTCATCGTTGCTGTCTGTTGCACTAGCCATTCGGCCTGTGCATCTCCCGCCGCAGCAGCAGCTGCTGCTGCAGCTCTTTAGGGCTCAGCCTGCTGCTGCTGCCCCCTTCCTCGCGAAGGTCAGTGGGCTGCTGCTGACGCCCCGCAGGTCTTCTACCTTTGCGCTGTCTTGTCTCTTCCTTTG